TGATGTATGCGCTACGTGAGCGTCCGTATTTGTTTCTGTGAGTTGCGAAAATACTCTCGGTGAGGCATTGTAGCGATCCACAACTAGCTGTGATGCTAGTGCATGAAAAGGGTCAACACGCCAGCATATTGGAGATCAAAAAATGAGATTCTCTGCTTCTGTCTAACTTTAATGCTGTTTAATAGATGTGTTATATTAATAGCGTTGTAAGCAAAATCAAATCAAATCTATGCAAATATGTACCGAGTCACGTCAACCAGGAAAAACTTTCCCTACCAGTTCAAGTCTGAAACATAAATCATGCCAATATCTGAACCCCGACCAATTGAAAGCCATTGCTTGTTCATAAGGGCCGATCCAGGAAGGCTTTCTTGTTGTTTTAAAGAAAGACTATAGTATATATCGAGCGCAAGTCGTCCATAGTCATCGGTGGCGATTGCTCCTTAAATTTTTTTTTTTTTTTTTGAAATGGATACCATGAGGTACTGTTTCTGCAGGTGTCACCTACATCGCCGATACCAGTCAGGATCTGAGCGAAATAAGACTGTTGCTGTCATTTCTTCAAGCTGTCGCTTGATGGAGCTCAGATAGTTCGTGGAGGTTTGCCAATGAATACCAGGTCCTTAAATAAGTGCGACAGAAGCTTTCCAAACATCGCTTTCGTCACGTCTGCGGTGGTTAGCCTTTCCAAAGTTAATTTTTACCTACATGCTTTGTTAGAACCGTGCTAAATTTTACCCTGGCCGAGGCATCTTGCTTCCTAGAAGACAGGCCGAGTTCGCTCTCCATCAAATCAACTATCGTGTCGATATCAGCACTAGCAGCATTTTCCATGTTTTCTCTCCTTCTGTTTTTTTTTTTTCGTTTGGCAACTGCTTGGACGTTGCACTGCTGTTTCATAGGTTGTACTAATGTTGCACTAATGTTGCATGAATGATTCGTCTTATCTTCGTAGCCTAAGATAAATAAATACACTACTGTAAAAATATACTCAATACATTTTGATTTTTGTAAATGCAATACCAT